GTGGCGCTGCTGTTGGCATGGCGCATGCGCAGTTCCTTCGCCTCAAACGGATCTGGTTTCTGTGGACGCGCATTGCCCAGACGCGGTGTGGGCAAACGCGAGTTGGTTTATTCGCGACTCCAGCAAAACGAACAGCATCCAGCGGGAAAGCACTGAACTGGCCGGAACAGGTCCTTCCGCGATTTCTGCTCGTCTCTTCTAACTTACGTGTTTACATGTTGTCGGTGGTTTACGCGACAGAACAGTTCTACCGGTGACTGTGTCGTAACCGTAATAACGCCTTGGGACCCAGGTTGCTCTGCACGCGACCCATGTAACCGCGTGAGCCAGACATTCTGCGTTTCTCAACGTTCATTAGCACCGTGGAAGGACAGTGGGCAGCCCTTTCCTCGTTTCCTCGAAGCCTCTGGAAGTTCGCTTACCCCAACACATCGCCGCAGGTTCGAAACGTGGAAGATACAACGCGGGGGAAGCAATTTTGAGTCCAATGCTTACTTGCATGGTGCCCCAGCGTTGTTCCTTGAGCTGGCACATGGCACGGCACGACCTGGATTCGACCGCCATGTTTGCCCGATAGTGGCGTCCCCTATAGGTCGCTGGAGTCGCGAATAAACAGTGTGTTGTTGGTATAGATAGCGTCGGGCTGCGCTCTGACTTATGGTGAAAGCAAGTGTCATACATACCATACGGCGAGCGAGTGTACACAAATGCGTCTTCGGCACACAAAGAGGACTACGCCAATCAAAAACACTCAGGGAAAGTGCGATGACGAGACGGCCAAACGCGCGCCGCCATTGGTTAAGGTTGGGGATCGAAACAAAAGCGCTTCTGCACATTTGGTGTGTATATATATGGTCAAGGCCATTTTTGATAACTACTCATATTTTAGAGTTCCCATACCTAGTGGCGTCGAAAAAAATAAGAAAAAAAAAGGGGGGGGGGGAGGGGGAATCGTCTCCCCCCCCCCGTTTCCCGCTTTGCACCAGTCATTTAAAGAATGTTATGTAAACAATACAGGGGAGAAAATGGAAATCTCCCCACTCCAATCACCCGAATAGTTCCATAGCCTCTGCGTGGACATATTGATAATAACAATTTGCAGACTCATAACAGTTATTGAGAAAAAAGAGCACACTGGTTCTTTGGAGACAAATAGTCTTGACCGATTGTTATTTTTTGTGCAGATTCATATATCTCCAAGGAAAGTGTTCGCTCAACAGGCACCTCTTGCACTGCCAGTAACAAAAAAGCATTTGGCCCCCAACCCAAGAGGGGGACAGAAGAGCTGTGATTATCAGTTTCTGCCGCGTGAGCGAACCAAGTGCACCGGCTGCTTCTTGTTTGCTCAGTTTGAGCGTACACTTTTCGTGACCCAAGCTGCGCCTGTTTCCCACTATAAACCTCTCCGCCGCGGGGCTCGAGTTCAGGTCGACATACAAGATGAGACTGTCAAGTCGTGTCACGCGATAAAATACAGGCGGAATCGACCGTAAATCAGTGCTGCAGGAACCACAAAAGACGCGTATTTCTGAGCGCGGAAAGATGCAGCCATATGAAAATCTTCTTTTTTTTTTTTTTTTTTCTTTTTGCCGGCAGATGTGAAGTGAAATCGAGGTCGTTGTATAATTCTCCCAATTCAAAAAGCCAGGCATCTGACAGTTGAAGAACCACTAAGCTCTTAAAGAAAAAGAGAAAAGAATAAAAGAAAATAAATAAAAAGAACATCCCACTACCTACCGTAAAGAACAGGTTTCCATCTGGAATGCAGGTGTGAAAAACAAACGGAAAATGGGAATAAAATTGAAGCACATGCAAAAACCGTACAATGATAGTGGGTCTTTTTATCTGTTTTTTTTTTTTTTAGAGTGTATTTAATGCATCTAAATTGCGAGGAACATTTCGTTAAAAAGATATTCGTGATTGCCGTGCGGTAAATACGCAGACGTGTCTTTTTTTAACAGCGTAGAGATCTTTTTATTTTTTTGTACAATTTGCGGTTCGTGTTTTCGTACTTCATTGCTAAGATCGATTCGTCCTGCCGGTTATCTCTGGTCGGTCACCAGAAATATTTTGAAACTTTATCTTAAAATACGTTTGGGATGGAGCGTTCATTTCAAAGCAACGCACGCGGTCATCACGTAACGAACAAGTTCTGTTGGGCAGGCACGTAGCCAGGATTTTGTTTCGGGGTGGGGGGCGGGCCCCATGCCCCCCCCTTGGCTACGTGCCTGCTGTTGGGCAATCTTGCTACCTTGTAAAATATTGCATTGCGTAGTAGCACCGTCGCTTAACGAATTCAACGTGCCATTAATCCGAAGATTAGGATGGTGTTTAGATGATTCTTGCAGTATATGATTGAGGTCCGTTAATTTTCGTATGGAATACACCACTATAGCTATTAGAGGGAGAGAGTCGAGCGTGGTAGAGGTCCATCAATAGTATAAGAAACAGCGCTGTATTCGTGCTTCTTTGCACCATATTCCCGTTTTTAGCGTTGTTTGTTTGAGAAGGCCTCGCTGACGTAGGAGGTAATCATTTTGTTTTCTCATTGTATATGTTTTTAAGCGCATCTTTGGCGCTAATACTCTTTTTCGGTTCCTGGAGCGCAAAGAGTGGGGTTCATATTCAGATTGGTCCCTTCCTCTCGGAGCCTTTACGGCATCGCTCAAGCCTTATTTGTTTTGCGGCACCAAGTCCCAATGTTCTCTTTCTTCTACCTGTTTATTCCATTAAAATATTATACGAACTACGAAGATAATATGCTTGGGACTTTGGGGAAACGTTTCACCGACTTCCCAGCTTCATATGTTTCGGAGATACCCTATGAATGTCTTACTTGGCTGCGGACATGCGGTCGCATGTACGTAACATCTTTCGCACCTTTGTAATTTTGTGCTCAACTCTGACAGCATGAAAGGATGAAAGCACGAGATTCTGTAAAAGGTTAGCAACCAACAAACAACTGGTGACCGAGACATTGCGTCCTTCACGTGTGCACCACTGCAGAGATGCCACATTTAGTTTCGAATACCGAAAACAAAAACAAATGCGATTTGACGTTGAAGCGCTGCCTGAAACATCCAAGTCGTGCCCGTTCACATGTATACTGGCCTCTGCTAGACAGGCGACTTGCTTTGAGTCTTACGAGCAGCGTTCAAAGTACCACCCGATAAGTAAGCCGCTTCCGTTTTGATGGGCACACCCTAGACAAAGATAGAGCGCGGACAGAGGACAAGCTCTCCCAATCTACCCCTCGACAACGAAGGGCATGCACGTTGCGTTAGTGTAGAGGCAACGCCGGAGAAAGGAGCCTCGAGCCGTGCACATGGTGCCCGTCCCCCTTAACAAGTCATAAATCTTCTATCTTTAGGGCCACAATGTTTTGCGAGGGCCTCGCCTTTCTCTTCGGTGGCCTCCGTGGAAGCAGCAGCACAAGCAACGGCCAGCGGGAATAGCTTGCCCTGGACTCTGCTGGACACGTGCCTACTCTTGCAGACGAGATCGGAGTCTGGAATTTGAACCAAGGTTGCTTCTTAGGTTTCCGAAAGTCATGTGGATAATTTTTTTCTACGTTGTCGGCGCCGCCGGTGGCTCTTGATTTGCTGACCGATTCCACGCAAAATACGATCTATTCACATAATTATAATACAAAAATGTGGCAAAAAAAAAAAAAAACGTTCAGAGGGGCAAAAGAATTGTTTATGCTTCTTAGGGCAGTGAAAATTAAATACAGGTAAGGTAATGATAGTATGGATTCTGTCCCATCATATACACATTGCCCAATCGCTGCGGTGTGAGAAAACGTTATATTTTTCTTTCACGATCACTGTGCGCACCAAAATGCGCATTGTGTCTTGCAGGGACTGTTCAACTGAAAAACGGTCTCTGCTTGAAATGTGGATTAAATCTTATAATAGGGACTTTGATGGCGCCCACTTCTCTATTTTTTATAGCAAAAAGTGTGTAAAATGAGCTGATCAAGACCTAGGGAAGCATAAAAAAAGATTAAACCCAGAATGTCTTGAAGGATTTTTTGAAATGCTAAAAGTTTACCCTGACACCCATGTCCTTAGTCTGTATATAGTTCCTCTTTACACAACCTTACTCAAGTTGTTTTGAGGTGATGTATGTATGTAAACGTGAATAAGCCTAACGGAGGTTTACCATGACAGGGTAAACCTTCGTTAGGAACATTGAGGACCTTGAGGAACATTAAGACGAATAGTTGCAAGCTGGTTGTCTGAGATGTGTACGCTACCAGAGGAAAATCAACTATTACAGAACGTGACTAGACTTAATCAATTAGTAAATAAATGCAATGCTGTCAATAGAAAAATACCTGGACGAAGCAGCAGAAGTGAATCAATCATAATTGCATATTCTGATGGGAATAAATAAATATTGTTTTAAACTGTTAACTCCAAAAAGGTCCTTCAACCTCAGTGATATTGTTTAGAGCAACTTTTGCAAGGAAGGAATCTCAAATTGTTGGCTGCGTTCTCTCTCTGCACATTTTTCTGTTTTGTCTATGAATTTTTAAAATTACAAAAAAAAAAAAAGGTACGCGAATAATAAAAAAAAAAAAAGAAAACATTAAAGCGGACCCATTGCACAAAGAGCCAAATGGCTCTGGACTAACCAACAAATGAAAGAAGGACCTGCCAGAATGATGTCTCAGCAACAAAACACCTGAAAGAGCCAAGTCAAAGCAGACAAGCCCAGAAGAAAAACAAACCGCGCGCCAGTTCGGGAAGCGTCATGCGCAACTGAATGCGCGTTAGAAGAAAAGGGACCGAGGCAAAAACACAAATGGAAATAACGAACTAGCGAGGCTGGCGGGCGCCATCATTCAAAGGCAAAGGCTGACTGGAAATCGTGCGGCTGTACATCACCTCCATAACGAAGGGACACCTGCTGCCCGAGCAGAACTCGCGCGCTGCCGAGGATAGGCAAACACAATCCCACACTGACGGTAAAAGAAAAGGAAAGCATTGACCAAATTTGTTTCTTTGAACGCAAATATACGTATAGCTTGTATTTCGTCACATGAACAAGAGCTTGTACAACACAATGAAATGGGAGTTTGTACATAACCAACGTTTTCTTTGCACAGGCTCGAAGCCAGTCGCTTTAGCATGCAGTGTGAGGACCTTAGCGTCCGACAGATGACTTTAAAAGTTTAAATACAAAATCTCGGGAACTATGATACAATATGTACAAACAGTCCTTTCCACTTTACAGTAATGTACAACTACGAGAGGTTTTCGTAGACAGTTCCAAGAGGTCTCGCTGAATGCCGGCACCGGCGTCCATTTCTCTTGGCGGCACTGTCGTCGAAGCAGTCCTGGAACTCGCGGAGGTTATCCAATGGGTCACGTTTCGTGCGAACACCACACGGAATGCAGAGTTCATCCAGTCGCGACACATTAGGGGGCACGCACCCGCAGCGGCATTCAGCGAGAACCCTAGCGTCAAACGGTCGTTTCTGAACCACCTTTCGCCCTGAGCACCCTCTTGGGCTTGTCGATGGTCGCAGTCCGTTTCAACATGGGCTGGTGCTGGTAGTGATGCGCCGTGAACACCGGGCCGTGCAAGGGCTTGTGGTCGATGTACTGCGGCACCATAGGTCGTCGACACGCCGCCAGTGGCACCCGACTCGACCAAGTCCACAACCCCGTCGTGATGCCCACGACGAGCGACATGAAGATGCGGAGCGTGAACACCTCCAGGTTAGGTCTAAAGGCCGACCCGGCCGCCAGCCACTCGTCCCGGTATGAGTACTCGTAGATGTAAGAGGCCAGCACACAGGCAGCGGGGACCATGTAGAGGACCGCGAAGATGCCCACACGGATCATGATGATCTCGAGCTTGTCCGCCTTGGGCGCGTGGCCCAGACTGTCTCTGGATCGCATCATGGTCACGATTCCCCAGGCGAGGAAGATGGCGCCGACCAGGAGGTAGACGATGGAAGGCAGGACCACGAAACCCAGGAGCGCGTGCCTGTTCTGGTTGCCCACGAAACACGTGCCGGTCAGTTCGTCCGCGTCGACCACGCGCATGACCAGGATGACGATGGTCTGGACGGCCGGCAGGACCCAGGCAAAGAAGTGGAAGGCAGTCATGTGCTTCTGGACGCGTTCGTGGCTCCAGCGAAGCCCTGCCGACAGGAACCAGGTGACGGTGAGCACAACCCACCAAGTGGCGCTGGCCATTCCGAAGTAGTAGAGCAGCATGAAGACCACAGTGCAGTTGATGTTGTCCACCCCCTCTTGGATCAGGATGGACACCTCGTGCTGGCTGTCCAGGTGACAGGAGACGCTAGAGCGGCCCAGCAGCAGACGGACGAAGTACGCCACGCAGTAGACGTTGTAGCATCCGCTCATGTAGATGATGCCGCGCTCCGGGTAGTGGAACCGCCGAGAGTCTACGAAGAAGGTGCCCAGCGTGAACAAGGTGGACAGGAAGCACAGGCAGGCCCACACGCTGGTCCAGATCTCGGCGAACCGCTTGTTCTCCTGTGTGAACAGGATGTCCCGGTCGCACAGGTGCGCGCAGCGTTCGGTGCGGTTGATGAAGAAGAAGTAGCGGTCGCCGTGGTGGTACGCGTCGCACAGGCCCCTCAGGCGAGCCCGATCGGCACCCGGGGGCGGCAGGGGCTTGCGGCTGAGGCGCGGAGGCTTGGGCCGGAATCCGTCCCGAAAGCGCTCACTCTCTTCGGGAGCCGGTCCGTCCATGCACATGTGTCGGTGGTTGTTCTGTGGCGGGAACTTGGAACAGTTGAGCGCCGCGGGCCACGGGAAGCCAAACTCCTGGAGCACGGGTTGGCACCTGGTACGGACACTTTCGCAGAGGGGCCTGCACGGTCCGATAGGCTGGGCCACCTTCTCGGTGCACATGGGCACGTATACGGAGCAGAGGAAGAACTTGAGCTGGGACGCGCATCCGTACTGCACGAGCGGCTTGAAGGTCTGAAGCTGCAGTTGCGCGTCTTGCTGGAGTTCGTGGCCGACCAGGTTGGGCATCCCGGTGACGTTGTATCCGATATCCTTGCACATCTCGATGCGGATGGGCTCGCACATGCGTCCGGAGTCCGTGACCGCCGGACAAGCGGGCGCCAGAAGTAGCAGCAGGAGCGAGGTCGCCGCCAGCGAGGAGGCGCCGCCGCCACCGACGGGCCGTGCACACGACGAAGGCATGCTTGCTACGTCTCTCGGGTAGACTACGACGAGCACGTCGACGAACTACGCTATTCACTGGGATCGCGCTACGAGACGAGTCCGGCAAGCATCCTGGGCCGGACACGGAACGCAAGTGACGGGACAACCCACGAGACAGCACCTATTTGAAGGAAGCAGCGCATTCTTCTCAAAACTCGAGGGCCCCCGCGTTATCCTCGAGCAAGTACAAAGCCGCGCGGACCAATGAGCGCTCGCCCGAGAGAGAGCGGCCGTCCCCGCCTTTTCCTCCTCGCCCTCTCGCTCGCCTTTTCCCTGCGTTGGAGATTAACAAGGTGCGCTCCACGCGGGCCTTTGGTTTGGCCTGACTACCGATAGATGGCGCCACTTCACAGGACCACTCCCGCCCTGTTCTCCTCCGAGAACCTGTAGGTCCTCCTGCGAGCCTGTTTTCCCCGCACACTCCTCTCCCACGAGGCGCGTGCGGCCGGCCGAGCGGCCGAGCAGCGGAGTCGTTGGGCGCGCAAACGAGCGAACGAGTATTTTCAACGGGGGGAAGAGCGTTGACAGGCGTGGCGGAATGGAGCGGCACGCTGTTTGCACACGTAACAAAGTGGCGCCACGCACAAGGGCGAGTCGCTGCGGCGGCCAGTTTTTTTTACGGGGAAATTGGCGGCTGCCGCCGCCGTACCGTGGTCACTCTTTGCCGCCCTCTGGATATTTGCGGGCGTCTCTGCGCTGCTGAGCCAGAACGCAGTGTAGATAATACGCCTGCACAAATCGAACATCGTTAGGATTTGGCGCTCGATACAAAACGAGATTAGGGAGTTTTAGTAGATCGTTCCGCAAACTCCGTTGACAATGTCCGATACTTCGCAGACTTTGTGGAGCTGTCGGAACGGTCGAGTAAAACTCTCTACTACCAGTATAGTCCTCCAGTACAGGAGAAATAAGTCAGTAAAAAAAGTGATGCTTATATATATATATATATATTCTGACGCGTATGGTACTGCAATTTCTAATGTACGTTGGCGGTCACTACTTTTTTGGGTATGGAAAATAACGTTTGCACGATGCAATGCGTGGTCATAAGTAACGCTCAGCAACGCAACTTACGCAACAATTGCGATGCACCAGGATTGAAAGAAGTCTTACGTTACGGGAGAAATTCATTGGTGCGTTCGTACATATATGCCGCATTTATTCTTAAGAGACTGGTTGGCTACCAGCCAACCCATCTCTTCAACAAATGAATATACCGATAGGACAATGGGAGAGTCCATCCAGAAAACAAGACAGCACGTATAATACACGGACGTTCGGTTTGTGATCGCTGAAAGCGGCGGTCCTTAAGCTATCCAAGAAGGAAAACGTTTCTCAACTTGTAATCAAAAACAAAAACTGGCGGCTCACGAACAGACACACAAAAATAAAAGAGAGCGCGAGAGAGGGCAAAGCGCGTCCGTCCGAACCTGCGCAGTAAGCGCGTCTGCTCTAGAGTATACAAAATGCCAGACGAAAGCGTGATTGCCGTGGCGAAGCTCTATCGCGGGGATAATTTACGAAGAGCAGAACAAATACACGGAGAAAACATGTCATCATATCCCTCTTGACACTCTAATTATAGGGCTCCGCCGGGTAATGACGGCGCCCCGATGGCCAACGAGACCTGTTTGTCCTGGACGGCCCGGCAAAAGAAAGAGCGGACAAGGCAAAGAAGAGAGACCACACCGGCGCACGCACGAACGTTAGAGCAGCTGAGGAGACGCCAGGAATTCGGCGTTGCTCAGCTGAGGCCTTCGTACCGTGCGAGCTGATACCATTCGGAAGCGCACTGAACTGGAGCGACGTCTGCAAAACTCAACGACGTCTGTCGGCAGTGGCGCCATCTGTCGGAGTAGGCCGCAGGCTCCTTCGTGAACCCATGGCCTCCCAGCGCGTGAACCGCCCTATCACATACAGCGCGCGCACAGTGAAAAACGCACCACGAGAAAAAGAAAAGAAGCTCATATGTGCCAGTGACGTGAACTTTCTTTTGCTGACCAATATGTCTCAAAAGAGGTTAGGTACCACCAACTAAGTATCTAACCAATTGATTAGCTATTGGATGATAAGGGCCACGCCGCACCCTTCCATTCTGGGTCGACGGGACCCCGTGGCGGATCAAGGGGGGGGGGGGGGGGCGACGGGGGCGGCCGCCCCCCAAAACAAAGTCGACCCCCCCCCCCTCCCCCCTTCTCGGAGGGCAATTTGCCATTGGTGTACCCACCGGTGCACAAGAAAGAATGGGAGAACAGTATTTTTACAAATTTTCCGCCCTCCCCCCCCTCCCCCCAAAAAATGGAGTTCTGGATCCGCCCCTGACGGGCCATTACGTATGTCCAACTGTTGTCGACCGTTATTTCTGTTTCACAGCATGGCTCTGTTGCGTTTAACGGTATAACGCAATTTGGAGAACCGCTTGACATTAGTAGGATACTCCTCAGAATAAACGAATAAAACATAGGGGAGATGCATATATCTGTAATCGGTACACTCAAACGTCTTGTATTATCTGACAAAAAAAGAAAAGGTTTGCTAGCGTTGCATCCCAGTCGTTGTCGCTCCTTGCCTTTTTGCCGGGCTTTGGCTGCGCGGGCAACGAATGTTAAAAAGCTGGCGAGGGAGGGGCATAATTACTTGAGTCCAAGTACGACCAGTATTAATTATAGTTATTCTGTGCACGCGTCAAATACACTTCCGCTGCTGCTGTTGTCAAAATCTTTAGGGTCTGAAAACTCTTAAAACCTAATTCCTCCAGCTTTTTTTTTAACCCTTACTATTATTGATTAAATTAACAATACTTAATTCTATGTTCAAATTTCAAGTATAATTCTTGCACAATCAGATTCGGTATGACACCGAGAGGAACAATTAGAGGTTACGTGTTATTTCTATAATCAATTAAATAGCCGCCGCGCCGGAGAGTTTTGCACACTTCGGTACGTAGAGGATAATTTGGTACTTAAATGTTATAACTGCCGTGCCACAATTACGTTATTGCGCGTAACACTAATTCGCACCAATTTGCTCGTACTTTCTACTTGAGACTCTGTGTCAGTGTATTCCCGAACCTCCCGCGAAAGGCTAAAATGTCAACAAAATTCTACCGGTAATATGTCCGTGGGCGCGGAAAAAACAAAACTGCAGAAACCACTACTGAGTGTGTGGAATCACAAAAGGTTTTGCGAGAAAAATTTTATTCGACGCTTTGGCGTTTTGTCATTTCTGCCAGGTTTGACGGCATGTAATAGACAAAAAACTAACAATATAAAACTGAAAACTTTTGCTCAAATAGTAGTTTATAATGGCAATACATAAAACAACTTATACAATCTTGGAAAATGAACGTCGTGCGTAAAAAATGCACCAACATGGCTACATTGACGTTTTTACCTTATGTTTGGGATTTGTTATCTCGTAGAGTTTTTAAGATATATCATTTAAATTTGTTTCACGGGTTCTTCACATAAGGGTTTATTGTCTATATATAGTATGTCTCTCCGACTTATAAAAAAAAAATATCTAGAGTGCTCTACACATAGCTGAAAACAAGACGTTGCGCAACTTCAAAGTGCAATTAAAAAGAAAAATCTGATTTTTTTTGTTTTTTTTTAGATTTTGGCGAAGCATTTTACATTATATTGCCCTGTTTTCTCATTAAAACATGATTTATTATTTTGTCTCTGTCAGAAATACAACGCTTCGATGTGCAGGAATATGGCTACTTTGACATTTTTAACTAATATTGGTTCGCTGTTATCTCGGAAGATTTTCAAGCCTTACTATTTATTTTTTACTCATATATTCTTCTCAAAAAGATATATTGTAGATGTATATTTTGTTGTTCTCTCGTCTGTAATTGAAAATATTTACAGCGCTTCAAACATGTCTCAGTGTAAAATGCACTGCAAATTCAACGTGCAGCTAAAAGAAAAAAAAAAAAAAAGAGACAAGCTGATTGTTTAGGTAAAGTGCACTGCACAACATTGCCGTGCTTTTCATTAAAATGCATGTTACTTCATTTTGTCCCGGTCAAAAACACAGGGCTTCGAATTGTACTGTAGTATACCCTCCAGCAGTCGTGGGTAAGTTACTTTTAAAAAGTAATTCGTTACAGTTACAGTTACTTTTAGAAAAAAGTAGCGAAGTTACCGTTACAGTTACTGCAACAAAAGAGTAACTCGTTACAGTTACAGTTACTTTTAAAAAGTAACGACGTTACTTTTCAGTTACTTTTCTATAACACAAAAAATTTAGAAAAAAATTATAAAACGCCCCTTACAAGGTTTTATTGCATAAAATTAAAAAAGTACGCTTTTTACTTCATATTGTAACTTAGGAGCAGTTGCTTCTCGAAGTTGGTGTTTGAAAGTTTCCATGCCAAAGTAGTGGTGCAAATCAAAGTACGAAACATGCGCAGTGCAGAGTAATTTCGCTAATAAAAATACGAGACATGCAAAGTGTCCTTCCCGTGTATTCTTGTTTCACGGTTGATTCACCCGATTAAAATGCGTTTGTACAGAAAAGAGAAAAACCACAACATCGGTAGTGCTTCAAGACACTAAGATGTAAGTTTTCAGTCACAAAGTACAAGCGCGTGCGTAAATATAACTAGATATTTTTTTCATAAAATCTACACGTGGCTATATTCGGGTCGTGACTCGCGAGAATGAACGTATTAACAACTTTGTGCAAGGCCAACCTGGCACTCGAAATGTCGGAATAGACGATTTGGAAACTGCAAGGAATGGCTAAATTGCACCTTCGTTCAGTGATATATTATTCATAAAACACCGGAAAGTAACGACAAAAATAACGTCGTTACTTTCATCGTTACCTCAGAAAAAAGTAACAGAACTACAGTAACAAGTCACATTTTTAAAAAGTAACTCGTTACAGTTACAAGTTACCAAAAAAGTAACAAAGTTACAGTAACGCGTTACTAGTAACGCGTTACTACCCAAGACTGCCCTCCAGATCAACATTTTTCTCGCTAGCCTGCCGTGGCCTCAGTTACTCCTATGCGTTCTATAATAAAAGAAACTTATCATAATTTTATACTTTGTTTAATTTGTGGCCATGTTCAAGTTTGAAATATATGACTCTATAAACACATCTATTAATGGCCGATTCCCACGACGGACTGATCCGCGGACGGATTGATCACGTGACGACATGTCCGCGGTTCGTCCGTCTCCCAAGCGCATCCACACGAGGGAGATGACGAGCAGTCGCCAGCGGGGACGGACCAA